ACAGCTGCTGCATAAAGTAGTATGAAAATTAAAAATAGATTTACCATATGATCCAGCAATCCCACTTTTGAAAACAGGATCTCCAAGAAATATTTGTACATTTCTGTTCCTAGCTAAAATGTGGAAGCAGAGGAGAAACCAAGATGGCGGCATAGGTTAACGCCGGAGATCGCTGCCTCAAACAACCACTTCAGAGATATAACTAAAGGACAGAACGGACATCACCCAGAACCACGGGAAGGCTGGCTGAGTGGAAATTCTACAACTAGGAGGAAAGAGAATATCATACCCAGACTCAGAGGAGGCGCAGTGCTGAAGTGAAATACTCAGGTGCAGAGTATGCGCGCGCGGAGCGGGCTGGCGGCGGAGGGCGCGGTTGTTGTTTTCAATCGGGAGGGAGTTTCAGAATCTGAGCTCCAGATCCGGGCGAGTCTCTGAGGACCGAGTCTCAAACGGGAGAAACGGGACTGTCTGGCTTCGGTCGGAACTCGAAGGCAGCTTTCTCTCCGAGGTTTGCAGCCATTGCTGGGGCTCTGAGAGGCAGAGCCCCTGGGGAAGGAACTGAGAGTCGCCATAACTGCTTGTTCCGCCCGCCCTGTAGATCCCCGGGTACCCGCCCCGCCCAAGCCCTGCGCAGCGCCATTTGCCGGATAGCCTCAGGCAAACGCTAGATTAGCACCGCCCTAGAGATCCAGCACAGAAGCCCTCCCACTACAGACACAGCAGACTCTCATAGCCAGTTAGCCTGGAGGTCAAATCACCCCGGTATTGCCGACATCAATCAAGGCTTAAAGGCAACAAGACTGCGCACAAAGACCACTAGGGGGTGCACCAAGAAAGCATAAAAAATGCGGAGACAAAGAAACAGGACAAAACTGTCAATGGAGGATATTGAGTTCAGAACCACACTTTTAAGGTCTCTTAAGAACTGTCTAGAAGCTGCCGATAAACTTAGTAAGGCCCTCGAAAAGACTGGTGAGACCGCCGATAAATGTAGTGAGATCCTCAAGAAATCTAATGAGACCCTCGATGTTGTGATAAAGAACCAACTAGAAATTAAGCATACACTGACTGAAATAAACAATATTATACAGACACCCAACAGCAGACCAGAGGAGCGCAAGAATCAAGTCAAAGATTCGAAATGTGAAGAAGCAAAAAACACCCAACTGGAAAAGCAAAATGAAAAAAGAATCCGAAAATATGAAGATAGTGTAAGGAGCCTCTGGGACAGCTTCAAGCGCACCAACATCAGAATTATAGGGGTGCCAGAGGATGAGAGAGAGCAAGATATTGAAAACCTATTTAAAGAAATAATGACAGAAAACTTCCCCCACCTGGTGAAAGAAATAGACCTACAGGTCCAGGAAGCGCAGAGAACCCCAAACAAAAGGAATCCAAAGAGGACCACACCAAGACACATCATAATTAAAATGCCAAGAGCAAAAGACAAAGAGAGAATCTTAAAAGCAGCAAGAGAAAGAAACCCAGTTACCTACAAGGGAATACCCATACGACTGTCAGCTGATTTCTCAACAGAAACTTTGCAGGCCAGAAGGGAATGGCAAGAAATATTCAAAGTGATGAATACCAAGAACCTACAACCAAGATTACTTTATCCAGCAAAGCTATCATTCAGAACAGAAGGTCAGATAAAGAGCTTCACAGATAAGGAAAAGCTAAAGGAGTTCATCACCACCAAACCAGTATTATATGAAATGCTGAAAGGTATCCTTTAAGAAGAGGAAGAAGAAAAAAAAAAGGTAAAGATACAAATTATGAACAACAAATATGCATCTATCAACAAGTGAATCTAAGAATCAAGTGAATAAATAATCTGGTGATCATAATAGAATCATGGACATAGAAAGGGAATGGACTGACTATTCTTGGGGGGGAAAGGGGTGTGGGAGATGCGGGAAGAGACTGGACAAAAATCGTGCACCTATGGAAGAGGACAGTGGGTGGGGAGTGAGGGCGGAGGGTGGGGCGGGAGCTGGGAGGAGGGGAGTTATGGGGGGAAAAAAAAGAGGAACAAATGTAATAATCTGAACAATAAAGATTTAATTAAAAAAAAAATGTGGAAGCAACCCAAGTGTCCATCAACAGACGAATGGATAAGCAAAATAGATATATGCATACAATTGGAATATTATTCAGTCTTCAAAAGTAAAGAAATTATGACATACGCTACAAAATAGATGAATCTTGAGGACATGCTAAGTGAAATAAATCAGTCACCAAAAGACAAATACTATATGATTCCACATATATATGAGGTACCTAGAATAGTGAATTTCATGGAGACAAAAAGTAAAATGGTGATTTCTAATGGCTGGGAGAAGTGGGGAATGGGGAGTTATGTTTAATGGGTATAGAGTTTAAGTTTGCAAGATGAAAAAAGTTCAGTGATGGATGATGGTGATGATTATACAATATATGAATGTACTTAATACCAATGAACTGTACAATTAAAAATAATTACAATGGTTGCCTGGCCAGTGTGATTCAGTGCTTGAGTGTTGACTCATGAACCAGGAGGTCACCAGGTCAATTCCCATTCAGGGCACATGCCCAGGTTGCAGGCTCAATCCCCAGTGTGGGTGTACAGGAGGGAGCTGATCAATGATTCTCTCTCATCGTTGATGTTTCTCTCTCCCTCTCCTTCTCCCTCCCTCTCTGATATCAATAAAAAAATATTTTTTAAAGAAAAACACTTATAAATGAGTTAACAAATTTAAAAGTGAAATGAATACTTAATATTGCATATCCAGAGGGCAGGAGAGGTAGAGTAGCATTTTCCCTTGAGGCATGAACTGTATTTGTCACAAGAGTGGATGTTTAGGTTACAGGTCACATGGGCCAGCCCTGAGTACCACATCCCAAGAGACATAGGTGCTTTTGTGTTCCCTGATAAATTGGTTTTGTATGTGTTTGTGATATGAAGAGTCCTCTAGAACATGAGGTCTAGGTCAGAGTCCCTTCCTGCCTGTGTCTCAAAGTGGTACCAATCCCGGTGCTTTGAAAGTTGGGATGTGTTAAGCAAATGATACCTCTTGTCTACCACCAGGAGCAGCAGTCCCAGAATGTCAACCTTATGCATGGTTTGTAGGTGTCAAGAGTTGCCATGAAAGACTCACTTATAGGCCCTGGCCAGTGAGGCTCAGTTGGTGGGTGCTGTCCATGCACCGAAAAGTAACCAGGAAAAGTGTGGAAAGATTGCATACACCAGATAACCCTTCGCAACAGGTCATGTAGCTGGTTTAAGAGAGAACCAGAACATTAGTTCCCTTTCATTGAGGACAACAAACAGAGCTCAAAGCACTTTCTTTAGTCACCATGCATCTCGCAGATGATGTCAGGCACCTGAGATGGTTTCACTTGGAAACACAAGGAAGTTTGCAAGGAAGAGTCACAACACCAAGGTTCTTTCCTCAGAAGGGACCCATAAATGGAATAGCTATTCTAAATTTCATGAGCTGCCCAGGATACAGACACATGACAGATGGACTGATAGGAAAGGAGGGAGAGGGTAGGTTGAGGTAACAGCAGAAAATTCCAATATAGACTAATTGCAGGACTGAGAAGGAAGATAGATGACCCCAATGAGGGAACATTGACCCTTCCCTCAGATATACTGACCCTTGCTTCCTCTTTCCCTGAAATAGTAGAGTAGCTCAGCTTTTACTAAAAAAACATGCTGTACAAGCACATATCACAGGATGTGGTAAGAGGAGCATTTACAGAAAGATGACAGGATATTTGGTATTTCTGTAAGGGAAGAAACTATGGATGCTCTAGGCACTATTATGAAATAATTATAGTAAGCACCTCATACAGGAAACACTTCATCTGAGAGATGATGCCCACAGGGCCCCAAGTGTAGTCCTGAAGCATAGTTAGTGCTCACTAAGCATTGGTTCCTGTTGTTATTGGGCTGGAAGACCTGAGGCTTGAATAGCACCTGTAGAGTATCACAGCCTGGTCTCTTATTTATCCAAGCTAAGTAACAAATAGCTTAAATGTCACCAATGATGCTTGGGGGCCTGGGAGGGCCAAATGGGGAGGTATAAAGACACAGGAAGTACACAAAACACACAAAATGTTTTCTACATTGGGGAAGTCAAGAAATGGCAGTAAGTATATTGTGAAATCAGACATTTGTTCCTTCATTTTTTCTTTCACTGAATAAGCAAGTATTCCGTGCAATGTAAGGCATCTCTGTACACCACTTCCATTCTTTCAGCCCCATCTCTTACTCTGGCCACCACCTCAGCAAGTTCTGCGCACAGTTTGTCCAGCTCCATGTAGATATCATCTGACGGCACTTTACTTTGGCCATCATGCATACCCCTCTTTTCCTGTATCAGAGATTCTCTGATGCTCAGATGTAGAATGCCTACAGGAATTTGCTCAATACTCGGGCCTGTGCAACCTAGAAGTACTGAACAAGCACTCATGACTAAAGAGGAAGGCATTACAGCGAAGGAGGAAACCTGTGACTTGTCCTGTGGATGTCAGTCAGCCTCTCTCCTCAGCCACAACAGTGCTAAATACAATGAGCTTGTGCAGAGACACATTGGTGACAAGAATGGAGGCTACACATGGTCCTATCAGCATGGGATTTCTCTCATCAAGGCCAACTTAACTATTGCCACTACTGAATGTCTAACCTCCCAGCAGCAGAGATGTCAAGTCTCAATATGGCCCCTCCCCTCAAGGAGAGACATGCTGAGTATCCTGAGAAAACAATCCTGCAAGAGAGAACAATCAAACCTCGGTGCCTTTGCCAGCTAGTAAAATTTACAGACAGCATGGTGTTTGCACAACACTGCCTCAGGCAAAATGTTCCATTTCATGGCAAATGAGATGAGTCAGTGGGTATATGGGATCCACTGGTATTACTATGTACTTAATCACCCAGAAGCAGCCAGACCAAGAAAATGGTGGCGTATGAATAATTTAGCTAAGAGGACAACAAACTTCAGGATTGAGACTCTCCACAATGCAATATATGCACTAAACTAAAAGACGATAGATGATGCCATGGCCCCAGTAACTAGAACATATAGGAACCAAGGAATTAATGTAGGATTGGTCCCTCTCTCCATGATTCCCCTTGATCTATTTGTGGTTCCCATCCCTGCAACATTAGGCTTTGCTGGATTAAGTTGGATTAGGCTCTGCTAGGTTCCTAGGAAGGATGGGGACAATGATGATGCACTAGTATAGGGTTCCATTTACCTGAAAGAACTAATAAAACCATCTGAAGGAGGCTTTCTAATGGATTTGACAAAACAAAGGCACAAACATATTGGAGGGAAGCAAGGGATGGTCTGTATCATTCATATCTTTTGACCCTACTCCTTACCTCACCCAAATGCTCAGTCATCACTCTTTTACATTTACATAAGCTTCCTGCAGGTGTCTTGCTTCAGTCTGTCCTTCATAACCCTAACTTCCCGACTGGGGCTCCTCTGATCCTGTGATGTGGAACACCTGCAAGAACACAACACACATGCATGAGCAAAGCAGAAGTGCGAGGAAATTATATCTGTGACCCACCATTGGCCAATGAAGGGTTGTTCCCATCAGCTATTACTGTGTAAACAATCTCCCAAACCTTAATGGTATAAAATACAACTATTTTATTCTACTCACAAATTCTATGAGTCAGAAATCCATGCAGGGCACAGAAGGAATGGCTTGTCTCTGCTCCATGATGCCTGGGGTCTCACCTGGGAAAACACAGGTGGCAAGGAGTGAGTCCAACGGATGGGGAATCACCCAGAACAGTGCTGTCCAATATAAATAATATGCAGTCATATATGTAACTTTGAATTTCCTCATAGCCATATTAAAAAATTAAAAAGAAACTGATAAAATCAATTTTAATAATATATTTTCTCTAACACAATATATCCAAAATTTTATCATTTACGCACGTATTCAATATAAAAAAAGAGACATCTTAACAATTTTATTTGGGGTGGGGGGATGGAGGGAGTACTAAATCTTTGAAACCAGGATGTAGTTTGTGCCTTCAGAACATCTTACTTTAGATTAGCCTCATTTATTTCTTTTCTATTTTAAGTATACTTTTTATTTTGAATTAATTGTGGATTTGCCAGAGTCCATTCATTGTCTTCACTAGCTGAGTTTAGACAGAGACCCCCCAAAAGCTAGTAGCCCTTGAAAGTCCTAGTAAAGGTCAGGGCTTGAAAGTCCTAGCAAAGGTCAGGGCTGTGCACCACCCAGTTAATCTAGGAACCACCCAGTTAATTTAGGTAATAATAGTTGAAGCATCCCCACCTTAGTTCCCTTAATCCTTAGATACTTATGTAGATCCTTGTTGATTATTGTTAATCAGATACTCCCGGAAATCTATTGATGAGCTAATCAGATACTCTGCCTACTCTCGGAAATCTATTGATGAGTTAATCAGATACTTTGTCTATTCCTGGAAATTGTCTGTTGATCTGTGTGTCATTGAAACCTCCTTACCCTAAGGGCTACTCCAGATCAATAAAAGATTGGAGCGGCCTGAGCATTGGAGGAAGCCCTTCGGGACTTGCCGCCTGGTCCCCCAATATTGCAAAATTATCTCGTGTCTTTTTCTCTCATTTGTTGTGCGGCTCCTCTTTCAGATACCGAACCCTACTCCATACAGAACGTGGAGGGAGTCTTACTTGACATGGATTCACATTTATTTGTAAGAAATAAAAATAGACATGATACCGAGAGCACAGACAACTGAAGCAAAAATAAACACGAGACCACTATGATATATAAAACTTTTGTACATCAAAGGACACAGTCAACAGAGTGACAAGGCAACCAGTGGAATGGGGAAAATTTACAAATCATATATCTGGTCATTTTTTTAGGGGGTTGTCTATTTTCTGTTATTCATATTGGGTGATTTCTATTGTTCTGTTTCTATTTTCTCTGTACCCACCCATTGAACATTTTATTTTGGTTATGGTATTTTCCAGTTCTATGATTTCCATTTCGTTCTTCTTTATATCTTCTACTTCTCACTTTCTATTTCTTTATTGAGGCTTTCTATTTTTTTCATTTGTTTCAAGAGTTAGACTAGCCCCATTTAAAGTGCTCAGTAGCCTCATGTGACCAGTAGTTATATTAAGAAGTACTATAGTTCTAGAGGCTTCCTCACTCCTCTGCCTGGAACCTAGGCTGGGATGACCTAAAGGCTACGCTCATGTGGGACTGTCTATCAGAACACCTGCATGTGGTTTGGGCTTCCTCACAGCATGGCAGTCTCAAGCTCGTCAGTCTTCTTACTGGTAGCTTAGAGTTCCAAGAGTGAGTGAGTATTCCAGTGATGAAGGTTGAAGCTCCATGGCTTTTCCCAACTTTGCCTCAGTGGTCACATGATTGAACAACAGTCCCTAGCCTTCTCTGTTTCAAAAGAAAATATAGACCCCACTGCTTGATGAGAAGGGAGGGGGTCATAATGGCCCCATTTTCTAAATGCCATAGAGATGGAAACTAAGAGATAAATGCTTCCCCTTTCTTTCCCCAGGAAAAATATTCTGAGATACATGATACTGCTGCCTGTGTCTCATAATACTCTCCAGGTCAATCAAGCTGTAGTAAAAGATTTCGACAAGATGGCAGCGAGATAGGCAGACGCATCCCAGGTCTTGTCCTGGAGCAGATGGAGTAAGCAGCTGAAACTAATAACACCCACCCTGAATTGGCGAAATTACTCAGCTGGTGAGGCGGTTTACAGCCGGGAAGGGCAGAGCTCCCCTGGAAAGGTAAAAGAACCAGAGATCTGGGCAGGAAAGTTTGCCAGACCTCTGAGCCCAGAGGGTCAGAGGGAGATCGCATGGCAGACAGCCGCATCTCTTGGGACAGGCACAGTCCCCGACTGGGGAAAGGAGACCCGCGGGATTCCTGGCACCGGGGGATTTGAGATCTGGGTTCTGTGATTACAGAGGACTGAGCCTAGAGGCGGCAGCCTGAAGAGCTGACCAGACCATGCAGTGCCGGTAAGAGAGGAGCTTACAGAAATTCAGCCTTCCCTGTATCCGCGGCAGGCATTTGTTTGTTTATTTTCACTGAACCCTGTTCATAGGACATTTCGGATACAGACACTCATCTGTGCTGAAGAGAGGGAGAAGGTGCAGACGAGTGGAATCTGGGGAGAGGCTGGGGAGAGGGGGGGCGTCGGGAGAGGTGCCAGCGAATTGAGTGCCAACATACCCCTGGGCCCAGGACTGGGGCAGCCATTCTCTCCGGAGGGTGGGACTCCTCCACCTAGCCCCTAGGCAAGGAGCACAGCCACACCCAGATTCCACCCTGAACGAGATGAAGGATTAAAATAATCTGATCAGTCCCTGGGAGTTAACAGGGTCTGGCCTATAGAGGGGCTTTCAGTCCCAGCAATAACACAGAGCAGAGTAACGATTAAAGAACCAGCTCTGGGCAGTTGACCTCCCCAAACCAATTTTAAGTGCAATAGAGAAAATAAACCCTTGCTACTGGATAGAGAAGCCGTATAGCCTCAGAGGACAACCCAAAAACACTGCCACCCTGAGGCTGAGCCACAAACTGACTCTTAGCTAAACACAAATTAAAGCAGTCTGGGACACAAATACGGCCTGCTTTAAAATAAGGACTATGGTTTACAACATGGAGGAACAGTGTATTGCAGGGAAATTCAACACTCTCCTGAATACCTGGCAAGACCAAGGTGAGCCAGACTGAAGAGTAGAAGAACCGAAGGACCTTCACTACTGCAAATTTTTTTTTCTTTTTTCACCTTTTAACTAAGAAACCAATTTTTTTCCTTCTTTTTCCATCACCTGATTTTACCCTTTTAATTACTACATTTTTATTTTTAACCAGTATTATTACTGCTACCATTTTACCATTTTTAAAGTGCCATTTTATTTTCTCTTTATTTTATTTTGGGATTAGTGTTCTCCATTCTATTTTCATCGTTCCTTTAGCATCAATTTTCCCTACCTCAATTTTACCTCTATGCTAAAACCCTCTTCCTCACTTTTCCCCTTTTGTTGTCCTGTTTCTCTTACCCTATTCCTGCTTTATATTTTCCCGATTCCTTCTTTTTTCCCCCTGTCAAAATTTCACTCTACTAATATATCCTATCCACTCCACTGCTCTAAATCCTTATATACCTATCCCTTATCTTTCTTCACTATCCAAAATTTTTTTTCTCTTCTTTTATCTTTCTATTGTTTTGTTGCTGTTTGCTTGATTGTTGAGTATATTGTTTTGTGTGTGTGTGTGTGTGTGTGTGTGTGTGCGTTTTCTTTAGGACTGGTTGTGAGGTTGTTTTTCTTTTTCTTTTTCTTTTTTTTCTGCTGGTTTTTCCCCTCCCTCCACCACCCCCCCCCCCCCGGTTATTTTTGTGCTTCTGTTTTCCCTTGCCTCTCTTGATATTATTGGTTATTTGTAGTTTGCATTCATCTCCAGGGATCTGTTGCTGGAATTTGTTGGGATTAGTGGCGGTTCTATCAGAGTTTTCTCCTCATATAGTCTCTTCCCCTCTTCTACTTCATTCTCTCTTTTCGCTCTTTTTCTTTTCTTCTTTTCCCCCCCTCCTTTTTCCCAATTTCATTTTCACACTCTTTTTTTCTTACTTTTCTTTTCTTTTTTCTCTTTTATCTTTTTCTCTTCTTTCTTCCTTATCCCCTAATCCCCTTAATTCAGGTGGTCACCTTTATTTGGGGTTATTAATATCATGAATATATTTGTGTTCAGTGCCTGGTATGTTGTGCCTTGTTGTGTTGTATTATGTGCCCTTAAATCAACGCAGCAGATCCAAGCAACAGCAGCCTCCTGATCACCATACCCTCTGAGGAACAGCAGCTGTACGTGAAGCCTCCCCCCACCAGCCAGAAGAGCCACCAAAGCTGTGAACAGCACCCACCAGAGGAGCTGCTGCCAACTGAGGAGCAGCTGCTACCGCAACTGCCCAAGGAGCAACCACAGCCCAAGGAGCCACTGCCACCCAGGGAGCAGTCACTGAATGACTCAATGTCTAGATATGTCAGTGAGATCAAACATGGGTAGACAAAGAAACCCCCAAAGGAAAGAAAAGGAGGACTCGCCAGAAAAGCAGCTAAGTGATACAGAGGCATGCAACATGACAGAAAAAGAATTCAGAATAAGGGTCCTAGAGTGCATAAACCAGATGGAGGAAAAAATCAACAACATATACAAGAAGCAAGAAGAAACAGATGAAAAAAATCAACTACTTATACAAGAAGCAAGAAGAAACAGATGAAAAAATCAACAACTTAAGTAAGACCCAAGAAGAAATGAAGAGCGATATAGCTGCAATAAAAAAAACACCATTGAAAGTATCAACAGTGGACTAGGAGAAGCAGAGGACCAAATTAGTGAATTAGAAGACAAGGAAGCAAAACACACCCAAACTGTACTGCAATTGGAGAAAAAAATTAAAAGATAGGAGGAGAGCCTAAGGGAGCTTTGGGACAATATGAAATGAAACAACATACAAATAATAGGGGTGCCAGAACAACAGAAAGAGGAACAAGGATTAGAAAACCTATTCGAAGAAATAATATCAGAAAACTTCCCTGAGGTGGGGAAGAAAAAAGTCACACAAGCACAGAGAGTCCCAAACAAGGTGAACCCGAAAAGACCCACACCAAGACACATCATAATTACCATGGCAAATGTTCAGGACAAAGAGAGACTCTTACAGACTGCAAGAGAG